ATCCTCCTGCCTCAGCACCCCGAGTGCTGGGATTACAGGAGTGTGCCATCACGCCTGGCAAGAAGGGTTTAATTATTGTCTCATATGGATTTGGAACATTTCTTAAATTTATTGAGGGGAATTTCATTTTATTTTATATTATAAATGAGAGTTTCTCTTCAATTTTATGTTTTGCATGTACAGTATATACAGTAAAACCTTGGAGTGTGAGTAACTTGTTCTGTGAGAGTGTTCTTCAAGATGAGCAAACATTTCTAATCAATTTTAACTTGATAAATGAGTGATGTCTTGCTATATGGTAGTGTGTGACACCGAGTGTCACGTGATCTCATTCCCTCGCTGTGGGATTGTGGGTGAGCATTCCCAAATAAGGGGAGCAATGAATGTGTTTAATGAAAATGCAATGTCGCGTTTTCATGAGATCCTCAAAAGGAGGCAAAAGCCAATGTCTTTGGATAAGTTCCTTGTCAAAGTTGCACGACAAGAGAAAGAGTCCATTGAGCCAATAGATAGCAGTGATTGTGTTAGTGATAAAGTCACCTGCGTGGTAACCTTCCTGTCTCCTGTCTCTTACACCAACCATGAAGGCTTTCAAAGGTACATGCGGTTAATTTGTTTATTTTTCTTTGCATTTTCTTTATCATTTTGTATATATTACAGTATTGTAATCACTTTTACTTGAATATTTTTGGGTTGTGGAATGAATCATCTGAGTTTCTATTATTGCTTATGAGGAAATTCACTTTGATATACAAGTGCTTTGGATTGGAAGCATGTTTCCAGAATGATTTTGCTCATATATATATACATACCATATGTATGTATGTGTGGCATTAGTTTTGGTGTAACCTGTTACTTTATTGTCTTACTGTTTGTTGTATGGTTTTTATACCCATCCTTCTGGGGTTTCTAGAGCGACTGAATTCTCCTTCTTTCTCTCCAGTCCTTACACAGTGGCTTTGTCCTGTATATCCTCATGGATGGTCACCTCTGACAGTGTCACACAGCAGCAGATCCAGTGGGCCTCCTTTGCCCTTGGCTAGTTACCCCTCCACTGTGTCCTCCTTGGTGATATTTCGTCAAGTCAGAGGTACCAAACATCTTCTTACTGAGACAAGAATCTGAGATATGGAGATCGGTGACATGCTTGGTGGGAGGTCACACAGTGGGCCGATGGCAGGGTTCAGCGTGAGCTTGGGGCTGCCTGTCTTCAAAATCCCTACTCTTTGCACCACGACTCCCCATCTTCCATTGCATGGACCTCCTGTGCTCAACTCCTCAACAAGGACCTCACAGTTCAAGATACCTCAAGAGGTTTAAGTGAGTGTGCGATATGGTAAGTGCCCTGAGTGACAGGCTCAAACTCCTCTGCTTCTTTAGCTAGTCTCCTCCTTCCCGGACACCTTCTACTTATCAAGACAAGAGCCCTGGAAGGTCAGCACTGCCTCTCTTAGAAAGCAGTTTAGTGCCCATCTCTGTAATTTAACCAAGGCCCTCAGGAGCAGCCTCAGGCCTCTTTTCCCTTCCCTTCTGTACTGAAATAGTTTCCCCAATCTCACACAGATCTTTTTCTAGGAAGAACTCTCCCAAATGTACTTTCCTCTGTGTCATTAATTTAAAATTGTTTGAGACAAGGTCTTGCTGTGTAGTTCAGGTTGTCCTCATACTCACAGTGGTCTTCCTGTCTGAGCCTCCTGAGTGCTGGGATTATAGATGTGTGCCACCATGCTGGCCCTCCCCTGTGTCATTAGATTTTGAACTGAACTGCAGTGTCCTGTTTAGCATGACTGGCAGAGTCACTCATAGCCCTGCTGGCCAGCTCTGCCAATCAAACTGTGCTTAGTAAGAAAGAGAAAAGTACTTCTGTCCTGGGGAAGTGTAGTATGTGGAAGCTTCTGCAGGCACTAAAATAGCTCCTGGTCCGTTTGTTCCCCCTCATCTCCTTTCGGGGACACCTGGCTGTCATTCATGAATAGGGGATAGCTTCCTTTTCACTTTTCTCTGCCACAGGATAATATTTGTGTGTGTGTGTGTGTGTGTGTGTGTGTGTGTGTGTGTGTGTTATTTATATAATATCTTTGAGTCCCACAGGTTCTGTGGGGGGAATCTGCACTGCTGGAATTTCTAGCAGTTTCCCCAAATGGGCAGATGCCTCCCCCCATTGTGGGCTGTCTCTGTGAGGGACAGAAAGAGGGCAGTGAGCAACAGTCAAATCAGGCCCATTTTCTATTGTAATCCTCTGGCCTTTCAATAATTTTGACTTCTCTTTGCCACCAGCTCCCAGCCTTTGCCTTTGAAGGCCTTTTCCTTTCTTCCACTCTCTGCCTCTGCACGCCCCTCGCCCACCATAGCTTTGCTGTTTAAGCTACACTACCCGGGCGTAGGGTGCATGCTTAGACCCTTGTAGGTACCCAGGGCTTGGCTCCATGACTCAGTGCTGTGTGTGGCCCCCTAACTTTGGGGCTGCCTTGGCATTCCCAGTGGCAGGTGACTGGGGTTGGTGACCTCTGAGAGCTGTTACATCCTGAGTGCCACCCTGTACAGGTACAGGTCAAGAGGTTTGTCTTGTGTCCTAGTTGTTCCCATCCAAGTAGGGTTAGAAGAGGCAATCAGGATGGGCCTGAGGGTTCCAGGGGCAAAGTGTGGGCAGCTGAGAACTCATCCCAGAGAGGCCGAGGGGGGAAGCTTTACTGGCAAAAATCATGTCCTTCTCAAGTGTAGTATGGAGACCTTTCTTTTGCCCTGTTGATGGAATAGAGTTTAACAATGGCTAGAAGGCCAGCTTGGGCCATACAGAAATAAGACTATTTTAAGGGCTGGTCTAATTATATCAAGTCCATGCTTTTCAAAAAATGAAAAGAAAAAAAAGTGGTCTGCATTCTGATCTTAGTTTATAGACAAATAAAAGGAAAATGACCCCCATCTGGGATCATGACTTCCAGCAGTGGAGACTGAATATCTTGGGTTCAGCCTTTATTCTGTTGTTGAGGTATTATATAGCCTTCTAGTCTGCAGTCTGTTTATCTTTGGATTTGATGGATTATCCAGACATTGCTAGACCTGCTTTGCAGATGAGGAACCTGAGACCCAAGCAACTGTCCTGTAGTGAGCTGCAGCCGGAGCCAGTTGCTGTGTACTGAGCAGAGACGAGTTCCGTTGCCTTCCCTTCTAGCTCGGTTGTCAAGATGCCTGGTTCCTCTTGGCCCGTCTGAGTGTAAGCCCCTGCCCAGCCCGGGCTGACATGGGGAACTGGGGCGCTCTGGTGGTTCAGATGCACGTGTACTTGGCTTCAGGAGTTTAGGGCGATCCCTGCAGGAATGGCTGCCCCTTAGGTTTGACAGGCCTTGAGGCCCTGACTGTTTAACACAGCTGTCCGTCCCTCATAGCCCACACGGTGCAGGTGGCACAGTGGCAGCAGGGAGGCCTGAGGGGACAGCGTTGTACCTCATGTGTGCTGTGCTGTCAGCCTTGCATGGACGACAGTGAAGCAGCATCGCGAGATAAAACGTGGGCAGCAGGGCCCAGTGTGGGGTCCCTGTGTGCATCTGCTTGGCTCTCCCAGCCACGGAGGATGGCCTGTGACCTTCACGGGGAAGGCCACATGCTGGACCCCGGGAGGCAAAGCATCTGAGTTGGTACTTCCTGTTAGCATTAGAGACTGACTGAACTCGGAGATCCCCAGGCCAGCACTTGGGGAAGGAAGACAGGAGAGGAGCAGCCATGCACAGAGAGACAGCTGAGAAGGCAAGGCTGAGGGAGTCCGGCCTCGGAACCACAGGCTGCTGGCCAGCGTGGTGGATGGGTCTGGCGCTGGGTGGAAACCGCCCCAGAGAGCAGGAAAATAGCCCGGCCCAGCCACGCAAGCGAGGAGGATGGAGCCTCTGCGTGCTGCCCTGCCCAACAGGGGAATCGCCAGCTGTGTGTGGTTATTTCAAGTAGTGAAGATTAGATAAAAATTTTAATTCATTAGTCTCATGAGTCACATGTCAAGTGCTCAGTCACCATAAATAGCTGGTGGCTACCAGATTGGACAGTGTAATGTAAGAGTTCCATCACCACAGAAAGCTCTGTTTGAATCTAAGACATCTCATTAATATTTTATATTGATTGCACAGTGAAATGGCATTTTGAATACACAGTATTGAGTTAAATATGACATGGTATTAAGTTTACATGTTAATTTTTATGTTTTTTACTGTGGGTGGTAGAAACTAGTAAATTACTGATGTGACTCGTATTTCTATTATAGATATGTACAGGAATATATCTCTATTCATTTTTTTCTTTTTTTTTTTTGAATGAGGAATTGAACTCAGGACCTTGTGCTTGCCAGGCAGGCATCATGCTGCTGAGCTATACTCCTGGCCTTATTCATTGTTTTTAATACCACATCTATTCAGCGATATTCAGTCAGATGATGTCTGTAAAAACCCTTAGCTGGGTATGGTAACACATGCCTGTAATCATAGCTACTCTGGAAGCTGAGGTAGGAGGATCTCAAGTTTGAGCCCAGCCTGGGCAACTTAGCAACTTCGCAAGACACTGCCTCAAAGTAAAATAAAAAGGGCTGGGGGTGTGGCTCAGTGGTATGGCATCTGCCTGGCAAGCTCAAGGTCCTGAGTTCGATTCCCAGCTTTGGTCGCAATCCCAGTACTGCAGAAAACCAAACTTAACCCTTTCTCAATAGTAAACGTGACAGAGGCAGTCCAGGTTAATGGGACAAGTACAACTTTGCAGCAGGAGAGATTCAGGTTCAAACTGCAGTTCCCTTCCCCTAGTGGCTTTGTGATCTTGGGCAAACTGCATGCCTTAGATTTTTCATCTGAACAGTGTAATTAATGAGGGATTTGCCTCAGCGCTGGTGTGAAGGTTACTGTGTGTAACCCACTACCCAGCTCCTAGGAATCCTCAGCAAGTGCTGGCTGCTGTGTTCCCACTGGTTCATTAGTGCTCGGCGTTCCCTCCCAGCCCTCTGCCCAGGGTCCCACCTGGGTACTCACCTGCTGGCAGCTGCTGGCCCAGGAGGCCCGGAGGGCGCCCCAGTCTTCGGAGCGCTTGGCCTTGCTGTCCAGGAGCACCCGCAGCTGTGTCTCCAGCTCCTGGCTGACCTGCTCGAGGGCGTGAACCTTGGCCATGTATCCCAGCAGGCAGCCGCCCAGGTCCTCGCTGGCGGCGTGGTCAGTATCTGGGCCTGGAGCCGGCACTGTGGCCAGGCCTGAGCTGCGCAGGCCCTGCAGGAAGATGCTGCTGATGCCCAGGGCCCGGCGGGTCACACGAGCGCCCAGACCACCCATGTACCCACTGGGCGCCATCCCTACATAGACCCCAGGGGCGCGGACAAGGCTGCCCGCAACAGCTCTGGAGGCCGGGGGGCTCTCCAGCGAGGATGGTGACCTCGTCCCCCTGAAGGATGCCCTAGACCTCTGGAGGGGCATGCTGGGGCCGGCGCCGGAGGGCAGGTCCACCACCACTCGCTGCTCACTCATCCTCCTCTGCCTCTCGGTGTCCAGCAGGTCTGCAGAGTCCAGTGGCTTTTGGTCTCCAGCCCCAGCATCCCTGTGGCCTGGCCATGGGCCTCTCTGGAAGCTCCTCCACCCCCAGTGTGCTTTGTGTGCTACTTTCCACGCGTTTCCACCATTCACCGAGCTGAAAGGGAGGCAGGTCCTGCCCAGGCTGCGTGCAGAGAGGCACTCATGCGTCCTGTGATGCGAGGTCATGTGCCCAGCCACCCAGAGTGTTCTCCTGGTATGGGGGAGGCTGGATCAGTGCAGGCTGTGGGAGTGGATCAGCTGGGTTTGTGGATTTTATTGCCAAAGAGAGAGCAAAGGAGGCATCAAGGAGCCCCATTTCACAGATGAATAAACTGAGGATCAGTGACCTCAATTACAAGTGTGGTGATCATTTCCCTCAACACTCCAATCACAAGCCAGGATCCAGTGTAAGGGTTTCAGTGCGACTCTTTGCCTCTCTCTGTGTGCTGGTGTGTGTGGAAGTATCAAAGTGAAGGTGACAGAGGGTGACCTGGATGTGGACCAGCCCTGGCCCCAGGGACCCGGGAGGGTAAGTCACACCTAGCCTGCTGCTTTCGTCCTCTCCCCCAGCGCCTAGCGGTTCCAGGTTCCTCCCCAGCTCCTTTCTCCCCTTCGTTTCCCATCTCCATCCTCCCAAGCCCTGCTGCTCAGCTGCTTGACCTGCGCTGTGTCCATGCTCCTCTCCAGACCTTGCTTCCCCCGCTGGCCTGGGCTTGGACTCTGGTGCAGCAGACATCCGGTTCCAAGCAGGTTTGGGCTCCACACACGTGGGCACCTGTAGTGCTTGGTCTCCTACAGCTCCGCTTCCCTGCCTGTCAGACAACTAATGAAGAGAAACACCCAGGAATGTTGCTGCTGGGCTCCTCAAAGGTGCACCATGCTAGGATTTGGTGAGACACCTGGGTTTTAATTCCTGCCCCCAGCCTCCACAAAGTCAAGTTCTTCAGGGTCACACCCCCTTCACTTCAGAAAGGTCACTCCAGCCTCAGGACGACAACGTGGGCCTATGGTTACAACATGCACTGCACTTAAGCTTTACCCTAGAGAAACCAGGTGGTGCAAATGCAGGGCTGGAATTCATCACAGACCCAGTCCGCGGAGCATACTCCAACAAGAAGGGGACAGAGCCCACTGTGAGTGAGTGCTGAGTCCATCCCAGTGCCTGTAGGGTTCTCAGTTCAACCTCAGAAGACAGGGATGTTGCTGCTTGGGCTGTGTACTGCACAGCTCTGGAGTATCATCATCTGTCTGCAACTGGCTATTGTCCCCATGTGACATGGACCTTAAGAACTGCAGTGATTTACCAGAAAGTAGCAGAGCTGCAATAAGGAGGCCTCTTCTGATTCCGTCCCGCACCCACCACCCACAGAGCGGGCCGCCAGCTGAGGTCACACAGGTCGTGTTAGAAGACCTGGTCACCTACTACAATGTTCTGGGTGCTCTTTCTTCCTCTTGGCTGGGACACCACAGCCCTTCCTTCCCCTGCCCCCTTCATGCACTGTGTATTTACTATGACACAAGGCACTTTCTAATATAATGTTCATTCTTGATGAACAGATTACAGAACCAACTGTGGCATCGTGCAGTGAAGAGTGGTCCTGGTGCTCTGGAGACTGTGACAGTGACTTCCTCCAAATATAGGTGACACTGCTGGGGCAGGGCCTTGAGTGGGATCAGTTCCACTCAAGGTTAAATGAAGGACAGACTCAAGCTATTCAATTGTTTGCAGTGGTGTCGTGCTTACGCACTGTTGTGGTATAGGATGGTAACTCAGAGCTCAGCTTTATGTTTCTTTGCCCAAAGAGATTTACCCTAAATGTCCTGAACCCCGGGGAGACGGAAAACTTCTCCACAGACCTGAAGAGAGGTGATTCTCTTTTGGAGGAGTCACACACATGTTCTAAAGGATCTGTTTCAAGAAATGATAAACTGCTAATCCTGTTATCTCACCATACTTATAAAACCCAGCTTAATGTCAAATCAAATTAAAAGATACAGACAGATACGAAGTAGTATTGGTACGGCTTAAATGAGGCTTAAGTTATTTTAAAAATGAAAAGAAGGCAAAATGTATTTGCATCTGAATCATCTGGGTAATAAAATAAGTTTATTTATATATACATGGTAGCTGAATTCTGTGGGTACGGAAAAATAAATCATACATCCACAAATGTATATATAACATATGTATCTTTGATTACATATATTATATATAAATTTTACTTTACAAACAGATTTCTCTCTATATATACTCACACACATTGAAATAGTCAATGCAATAATTAACAGAAACACTGTGATAAAGTGAAGATCAGACAACATGTTAGAAAACAAATCTCAGAGCAACAGTTAACCTGCTTCTTTGTAAGCTGAAGTCTTTGAAGAAAGACAAGAAGGAAACTCATGTTTAAGTTGGTTCAAACAACATTGAGAACACACATTTTTGAAGGCCATCCTGTTTTTGAAAAGGAAAACATAGGAAGAAAGGAAAAAGTCATGGTGAGAAGACCACAGCAACAAACACAAACATACGGAGCAACATTCAAATTTGATTCCCAATCTGACTATAAGAACATCTATATTCAAAATATACTATCAAACTATTTGTTCTTTTTTTGAGAAAAGAAGCGTTAAAGCAGTTATCTTCTCTCCTAGCCACTATTAGGGGAAAACAGCGAAGCGGCCGCATCTGGAAGTCCCTGTAGCAGTGTAGGCTGCACGGGGCACAGGGAGGTGGCCGAGGCGGCACAACCGGGACGGGGATGGGAGGTGAGCTGACAGCAAGTCCGTGGGCTGACCGAGGCTGCCAGGCAGCACAGAATGGTGCTTCTCCCAAAGGACTCTTTTCTTGCTCTTTTTATCTTGCAGGAGGAAGGTTTCAGAAGTGACAGCTCCATACCTCAAAGTTTTTTAGCAGAACCATTCCTCAGGGGCACAACACCACGGCCCTTGCAGAAAGCAAAGCCAAACCCCGCAGATAAACACTTGGTCCTGGAGGAAGGGCCTGCACGCTTGAGCTCTGGAGCTGGGTTCTGTGTCTACTCCCACCCAAGAGCAAGCACGGGGCTGCACTAAGATGGGCAGCAGAACCGATGGAGACAGGGGCTCTTCAGGGGAACTTTAAAAATATTTTCTGCCCCAAGGGTGGGGCAGTCCTGCCGCTACTATGGTGGCAGCGCCCTGTGGATGATGTCAGGGGGATGCGACTTTCGGGTGCCTCCATGTCGCTGTGGACTCCTGAGGGCAGCATGCCCTGCCTGCCGGCCAGAACTCGGCTGGAGTTAGACTTGACGTCAGGGGCGCCACCGTGACGCGGCAGGTGCTCGTCCTCGGGGAGGCTCTGTGCTTCGGTCTGTGTCTTCCTCCTAGGAGGCCCAGAGGGAGGAGACAGTGTCACACTGAACGAGACCGTTTTCACACTGAGCTTCTACAGGAGGTCCGTCTTTCCCCTCACCTGCCTCGGGCTGCTGGGCCGAGTGCTCAAGAACAGTTATTAAGAGAAGCAATCAATGCCACTGCTTTGCTTAGAAATACCTTTATTTTATAAAGCCACAGATCATTCTGTAAAGTTTTTTTTTTGTTTTGTGTTTAAACCACACTTATAAAAAAGGTGTTGACAATTCTTAGGAAAAAAAGCTGAAAATGTTTCTCATTAAGTCAGGGTTACACAAAGGTTATATTTATAATATATATTTGTATATTTATAATTTTGAAGGACAAAAACAGGGAATGGCAAAACAAAGGCTGCTGCAGTTAGATCTCGGACACTTGGTCGTTTCCTGCGAACAGCGTCTCCTGACAGAAGGGGTTCACCAGGACCATGCCGGTGTCACGGTAGTCGCCGTTGGCCGGGGAGCGAGGCTCGGAGAGCTGGTCCTGGGGAGAGAGGGGGAGACTGTGAGAGGGAAGCTGTGAGAAGCGGCCGTTCCTAAAAATGCACACACAGGTGTGTGTACTCGGGCTTCTTGGTCCCTGTTTTCATCTCCATTGCGAGCGCTGAGCTGCTGCCTGCTGTCCTTTCACGCTTCTATAGCAGCGTCCTCCCCATACCTCACCCTCAATGGCTGCAGGGGGTGCTGCCGTCCGTGTTGAAGTCCGAGCGGACTTGCCCGGCATACAGCACGTGGCTTGCTGCCCTGCTGGGTCATTTCCCCTCCCAACCCTCCCAGAGCTGGGTCAGAATTATCACCCCATTTCCTGTCACATGAGCAGTGCTGAGCTGAGTACCTGAAGCTCTGTGTGACTGCACAATAGGTGCTGAGTCAAAAAGTCAGCCTGTGTGCTCAACCGCAGGGAAGAGGGGCCTAGAAACTGGCAGTTCACTGTGTAGAAGCTACGCTGCTCCGGCATGGTTCTGCTCCCAACCACCAGGAATGCTAAGCACTTGTGGGGTGCCGAATGGCTGAGCCCAGACTCAAGCCAGGGGTTCATTTAGGGAAGAAGAGAACAGAAGGAAAGGCCAGGGAGGGGTGTGGGAGCAGGTGCCTGGGGAGGGAGGGAGGCTGAGAGAGAAGGGCAGCTGTTGCTGCACTAAACCACTGGGGTTTCGGAACCTCCAGGCCATTTCAGGCCAGATGAACTCAAACCAACAGCAGGCCTAGTATGCTGCATTATGTTATATTTGCTTAGAAATGGCTTCTTTTTAAGAAGCCATAATTAATTCTCTTAAGTTTATTTTTAACAAAACATAGGCAGAAGATACTGTTTGAGGAGGACTTGTTGCTTTATGCCTCATAAGGGGGAAAGACGACATCCCACTGTGGATCTGTTTCTTCGGGAGGCAGGAGTTTCCTTCAAAGGCGGCCCTGAGCGAGCGCTCATGAGGAGGCGTCCTGGGCCGGCCTCCTGACAGAGAGACAGGCAGACGCTGAGGACAGAAAGCCCCTTTCTCCGCCGAGCGTCGGGCTGAGTGGTGAGGGGATTCTGCAGGCTCAAGCTGGCTTGTTTCACAGTCCTCATGAAGCAAGTGTTTGCCAAGTGAACTGCAGGATATGTTTCTCAACATAAAAAAGAGTTATTTAGAAAACAAAGAAGGCAAGAAAGGAGAAAAAGAGAGGAGGAAGAGGAAGAAGCGAGAGAAAAGTTCCTCGCAGCTCCTGGGCAGTGCTGTCTTGTCTGTTTAGCTCAGGATTTGTGCTTTGCCGGTTCCATCAGCACAGAAGGGCATGGGAGGCAGAGGAGCTTGCCGAGGCAAAGTGCTTGGCAGTCTCTAAAGCTGGCGGCCAAAGATGGGCAGTGGGCACGTGTCCCGGACACGGGCACGGGGGAGTCTGCCCCTGGGCCCTGTGGTCACCTGGTGCCTGGGCAGCAGTGCAGGCGTCCCCAGCCTGCGTCCTGGCTCCAGGACGTTTGTCTTTGCCCGTACACAGCGTGAACTCAGAGAGCTGGAACAGATTGTAATGTTTCTCTAAACAAAGACGAGTAGACTGCTGGGAGGCGAACAGTATTCAGCTCTGCTTGGAGGCCAAGCCAAGCTGTTTGTTGTGGGTCCGTGCTGTCCTCATCCTCGGCTCCGGAGCCTGTGCCTGGAGGGGAGGCCCTTTCCGCCAGGACCTGTGGCTGAGCAGGGTGGTGGTGCCAAGCTGCACCTCGCTGGAACGGTGCCTGGCTGTGGTGCTCTGTGAGCAGGGGCCTTTTCTACAGCGTGGCCCCAGCACTGTTCTTTGGCTTTGGCTTACAGTTGCAGAGAGAGCACGAAAGGTGGCAGAATGGGCCAGTCCTTTGTCGTGTTCCAGCTTTTCGCTTACTATGCCGGAACATATGTGCGTCTCCACTTAAGGTCAATGCTGCCATGAAGCCTGTCCCTTCTGATTATCCTTTGGTTAAAGTTTAATTTTTTTAAATTTTTTTTTATTAAGCATCTACTGTGTGTTAGGCTTATGGGGTGAAGAAAATTTGTAGTTCATTGTTTTGCTACACACCAAGCATTTGCCATGTATCAAGCACTGTCCTTGGTGCGGGAATGGAGCAGGGACACAAGGGAGGCTCCTGCCCTCAGGCAGGTTATATTAGGAGTGATCAGAAAATACGGTGAATGCTTAAGGTTTAAAAAATTTATTACAGTAAAAAACACAATGTTAATCCTCTCACTTCTAACACAGTCATCCCATCTTTCCTGCCATGTTCTTTTTTTTTTTTTGGTTTTGGTTTTTCTCCTGTACCAGGAACCGAACTCACGACCTTGCGCTTGCCAGGCAGGCGCTTTTGCTGCTGAGCTAAATCCCCAGGCCCCCCTGCCATGTTCTTAAGTAGTTGTGAAGTACTCTTTCCTGAGTATTTTTAGTTGTGGCTGGCTTGATGTTCTGAATTTACTCAGCATCTATATTTTGAAAACTCATTTTGACTCTGTAGAAGAGCAGGAAGTTACAGTGTCAGATCCAGTGAAAAGGTGGATGAGGACACTGTGTTATGTTATGGGCCTGCGTTTCTGATGGCAGCATTTGGCAGCAGCATTCACAGTGTTTTTGATCACACCTCATAAAGACACTCAAAAGAGGACTTCCAGAACTTGAGAAAGTAGCATGATGATGTGTTTTTGCAGTTGGGGGAGTATTATGAGAGGGATTAATGGCAAAGTGTCTCTCACTATAACAATAATAATAATAATTATTACTTTTTCTGAGACAGAGCCTTGCTATGTGGCTCAGGCTGGTCCTGAATTCACTATGTAGGTCAGTCTGGACTCGAACTGTGGCAAGCCTCCCGCCTCGTATAACAATTATTTTTAAAAAATTAAGCAATCATTAATTTTTGATCGCACCTGCGTTCCATCAGGAAGTACATCACAGGAGAGACCAACGCAGTGTCAGGTGGTGAGAAGTGATTTGAAGGAAAAAATCCTGGGCAGCGACCAGAGAGTGGAGCAGGGAATTAATCAGTTTGGAGAAGTGAGGGAAAGGCTCCCCCAGGATGTGATATTTGAACAGAGACCTGAAGGAAGCAAGGGCCTGAGGCATCCAGGAGAAAAGTATTTCTGAGAGGTGGGAGAACAAAGCTGTGTGGGAGGAAGAGCACGAAGGACAGCATGGCTGAGCGGGGGGCGGCAGGGAGGAGCAGCGCCGGCTCCAGAGGGGCGGTGTGAGTTCTCTTCATAGTGAGGAGGGGCCCTCTGAGAGCCGGGAGCCACGGCCGAGGAGGGTTCTAGGTACTGCGTGGAGACTGCAGAGACAAGGTGGTAATGGGCGCTCTGTCTGCAGAGCTTGGCGCAGCAGTGATGACGTAAGAGAGGGTGCTGCACCTGCGCTGAGACAAAGCACTGTCTTCGGCAGAACCAATGGCACCTGCTGCCAACCTGGCCACCAGGTGAGTTTTATGCCTGAGGGAAGCAGGCAGAGGGGAGGTGAGAGCTCAGTCCTGGGCACACGGAATGGGAGGTGTCTGCTAGGCTCATGGGGCAGACAGCTGACAGGTGAGTGTGGAGTTCAAGAGAGCTATCAAGGCTCCAGAGAGAAATTCGTGGTGCAGGACGGCATTTCATTCATGGAGGTGAGTGGGAAGGGAAGAGCAGCCATGGTAGGACGGAGCCTGGGCATTCCAGTGATCAGAGGCTGGGGCATGATTAGGCCCCAAGCTCAGCAACTGAAGGGGCTTCTGGGAGCAGGAGGACCAGAGAGGCTGGGCCCCATCGCTGGGGGGTCGGCAATGCTGCTGGAAGGAGGAGTACAGATCTCAGAGCGGTGAGCAGTGTGGGAGTGAGTGGTTGTTCCGCTGTGGAGAGACCAGGGAGTCACAACCCCAGTGAGCCCTGTGATGACGCAGCAGGGGGCGCGGGGGCCAGTCTGGCGGGAGAGACAGCCTTCCTGAGGAAGTGACATTTAGGCTAGGCCCTGAATGATGGGCCCGGATGACACCCAGGAGAGGCAGCAGCCCACCTCCAGGCCTGCAGTGGGCGTGGCATCACTTGGTCATGAAGGAACAAAAATAAACCCAAGGTGGCTGCAGCTTAGCAAATAAATGAGGGGAGGGGTAGGATGCAAGGCCAGGACATTGGGTGGGGACCAGGTCTACCTCATTAGCCCTGTGAAACACTGTGCACGTTAACTCAGGGCAGCGGGAAGCTGCTGAGGGGCTCTGGGCGTAGGAGTGATGTGACTGCATCCCTGCCTGTAGGAGCTCATTTCCTGAGCGCTGCCCTGTGGGAGGATGGGCACAAACTCCTCTAGGCTCTGCCTGCCTTACCCATGTCTTGCTCGCAGACCACCGCAGCTGTGTCCAAGTTGAACTACCTAGTTTTGGTTTGTCTTTCTGTCCACTTGTTCTTCCACTAAACCAACTTTGATTCCCTCCTTATCCACTCTCTGATCAACATGGAACATGGTTGACAGGGTCAGCATAACCCTAAACTATGTTGCCTCAAGTGCAGAACTTTCAACTGACCCCTCACTGTCCCAGACCCCAACACCCATGCAAGGTTGTGCCTAATCTGGCCCTGTGTGCCTTTCCCTGGCTGCATGGAAGAGCATGGGCTGGGTCAGGCCTGGTCCTGCAGCCCCACTCACACAGGCCAGCCAGCCGTCATGGACCAAGGCTCCCGTGCAGCTCCAGGGTCACATGCTGCCCCTGTGCCCAGGCTACATCCTCAGTGCAGTGTCTCCAGCTGCATTTCTCTCCCAGCACTTTCCTGGAAAGCCTTCCTCCCTGGGGTTCTAGCTCTGTGTCTACCACTGTTCTCTATTTCCTCTCATTTGTTTTCTTTCTGAGTGATGCTGGGGTGTGTTCTCTGGCTACATCTGAGTATCCAAGCCTCCTGAGCAAGCTCTCATCGTCACAGTCCCCTGACACTGCCACAAAACAGGCCCTCAGAGAGCGGATTTACTGCACCTAGAAACCATAAATTCTGAGAAGAGTGTAGCTCAAACTTTAGCATGCAGAAAGTACCTCTTGTTAGAAAGTCGACCCTAAAGTTGGGTGCTGTGATGCTTGCCTGTAATCCCAGCACTCTAGGAGGCTGAGACAGAAGGATCTCAACTTGGAGCCCAATCTGGGCAATTTAGTGCCTCAGGGAGACCCTGCCTCAAAATAAAAAATAAAAAGGACTAGGGAGACCCTGCCTCAATATAAAAAATAAAAAGAACTAGGGACGTACTTCAGAGTGAAGGCCCTAGGTTCAAGTCCCAGTACCACCCCCGACCCCTACATACACAAAATGCAGGCCCTGATTCAATGGGCCATGGCAGGGCGTGCAACTTCTGGCTATTATGGCTGCTGCTGGAGGAGCAGCCTCGGTCAGGCCACTGAGGAGCAGGCCTCAGAGATGAGTGGATGCACCCTGGCTCTCCTTGGGGCCTGTGCTTTTCTGTGCAGCAGGGCCAGCACTTCCGGGGGACCGAGGGCTGCGGCTCATCACCTCAGAGGTCTCCAGGGACTGGATTTCCCGCGGTAGCTCCACAGCATGCCTGTTGAAGTAGTCCATGGTGATGGCGTTGTTCCAGTAACTCAGGTTGTTCTCAGGGTTGGCCGTCTTCTTCTTCCTCCTCATGCAGCACACTGTGAGCAAGACGGCTGTGGAGAGCAGAGGCCAAGTCAGAGGAGGCCGAGAGTGACAGGCTGAGCCAATGTTGCAGGTGACAAGTGCGGGAATTTAGGTGACACCGCTAAGCAAACACAGCATTCAGCCACTTACCCCACCCACTCACTTACGTGTTCCTCCAACTAATACCTCTCTATGTTGGTGCTCGCTTTGTGCCAGGAACTATTAAAAGTATTTAGGAAAGAGGGGTGGGAAAGGCCAAGCCCCCTTTGCTCCATAAACTTTCATCCTCCTGCATGTATGGACAGGGTAGAGGGGTCAGTCAGTATATAATAAACAAAGTGAACAACTAAGACATTCGGAGAGTGATAACCATTTGACGAAAATGGAGCAGGGCAGTGTAGAAGGCAACGAGGGCAGCTGGGGAGAGAATGCGGACGGTCATTATGGAAGGCCTCCCTGAAGAGCTGATGTGCCTGCACCATAGGTCCTGTGTAACTGTCTGCAGCTTCTACACACATACATGTGCATATACATGGATGATGGTGGGCCAGAGAGACACTGTTTAGTCAGGGACGTTGCTTAGTGAGTCCCTGCCATCAAGGCCTCGAAGGAAGGCAAGGGCCCTTTAGTGAGGCTCACTATGCCCTGCCCCTCTACTGCAGCCAAGAACTCTTCCATCAGCCCAGGGCTGACCCCAGAGCACACCCACCTTCTGCAGAGCCAGAGTCTGGGGACCCTCTCCCCCATAAGCAAGGCTTTTTGTGGGTACAAACTGAAGGCATATCAGAATTATTAATTCATTTAATTCCCCTTTTCACCCTAAGGGGTCAGGCCATTAGGGTCCCTGTTTTACAGACGGGAAGTCTGAGGGTCAAAGAGGTAAAGTGACTTGCCTGAGGGCAAACCCAGATACCTGGACTCCGAAGTCTGAGCTCTTATGCATCTGTGGCTCTGCCTCAGACTGCAGCAAAAGCCTAGCCTGCAGTGGCTGCCTGAGCAGGGCTCTCCACAGCTGGACTAAGCACACTGTGATGTGTGACCCCTCTGCTCACGCTGACACCGTCCAGGGGAGAGCAGCGTGTCTGGATTTGGATGAACCAGGTGTGCACAGAGTGCTGTCTGGGAAGGCCCCTGAGATCTGAGATGACCTGTCCAGGTCACACGCAGAATGCTGATGCCACAAGGTGACACGTGCCCCCTCGGGAAGCCAATAGTGAGGACTGAACACCCCGTCCAGGCTCGCCATGGCTGGCACCGCGTAGGGCGGTGTGGGGGCCGGGTGGCAGGGCTCTCTGTGCAGGGAGACAGAGAAGAGGCCTGGCTGTAGAGAGGGGCCCACACCACCCACAGCAGCTGAGAGTCTGGCCAGCATTACCCCTGGGGTGTAGGGTAACTGCAAAAGCTGGCACCTGTGCAGGCTGAGAGGGCTGAGAGCCCAGAGTCCTGGGTGCTGCTGGCTCTGACTCTGCCAGACAGCTGGGTGCTGTGAGCAGCAGAGCCCCCTGAAGAAGAAGAAGACAGCCTTTCAGCTGCTGGCCCTGTTGGCATCTCAGTCTTAAAGGCCTCTGAACAAGGTCATTAGGGCCCATTTCCATTTCATCTTACCTGCTTTGAACAAAAAGACTGCTAATTTTCTATCATTCCTCCCGATTTCTTTAATCAACAAAAACAAAAACATCTCAAAGCCAGGTGTGGTAACGCACGCCTTTAATCATAGCACTCTGGGAGGCTGAGGCAGGAAGATCACAAGCTCAAACCCAGCACAGGAAATGCAGGGGGACCCCATCTTAAAATAAAAAAAAGGGCTGGGGATCAAACTCAGTGTGAAGAACATGGATTCACAGAAGGGGTTTCTAAATGGGCTACAAGGGAGAGCGGCTGGTGTTGTGTACGGTTTTCCACATTTGGGGGTGTCCTCCTCCTTTCCTTCCCCTCCCTGTTTTTAAATGGCTGAAGAAGGAAAGGAGATGCCAAGAGGCTGTGGAGCTCAGCCTGGAGACTAGCTCATCTATGCCGCTGCTTGTTCTGCAAGGCCAACTACTGCTTGCGGTACCCAGCTGGCTTGGCGCAGGTCAGAGCTTCGTGAGTGGCAGGGCTCAGACAAGACCCCAAATCCCTCCTCTCCTTTTCTTGCCTTTACTCTTCCTAGCACATCCTGTCCCCTGCTTCTGGGACTGGGATGGTGACACAGCTGGGGAGCTCAATCTGGTCAGGCAAGCCGCACAGAGATGACAACACGTGGGAAGCGGGCAAAATACTGTTTCCTTGGTTCCAGCTCCACTTCCTCTGTTGGGACAAAAAAAGGCCACTTTCCAACTAAAGCCTGTAAGGGCGTCTCCCATCTGTTGTCACAAAGAATGCTGCCACAGACCCAGAAGCCAGCTGGCAGGGCAAGAAAGATCTTTCTGAGCCAGGACTGCATGGTTTGCACACCTTTCTAAGGAAAAGCATCTCTGTGCCTCTCATCTATTGAGCAGTTATAAACAAACAATTGCTGGGTGTGGTGATGCACACCTGTGATACCAGCACTAGGGAGGCTAGGCAGGAGAAGAGCTGTGAGTTCAAGCCCAGCCTGGGCTAGATAGTGAATCCAAGGCCAATCTGAAGTACATAGCAAGATGTTGTCTCAAAAAAAAAGGGTTGCAGAATTTAGAATCAGAGTCTAGATGATAATCTGTTACTCACGTGACCTAAGTAAATGACTTAACCCTTCTCCATGTCGGCTTCCTCTGAGAAGATTAGATGCAATCATGCATTTAGTAGCACTTTACCCAGTCCCCAGAACACAGGAGGACCTGGACCAACCATGCCTTCCCCATCCTACACCCTTACTCCACAGAGTGGTGAATGGAAACCTAGAGGGGTGAATGTGCCCAGGGCCACAGTGCCCACCTGGACTGGTGGAGGGTACACAATTCATGTCCTCTGCCCCCTAGTCCAGGGATGTGTCTACAGCTTGCATTGCCCTGGCTCTGAAGCAGGGCCTGTGTGGAATGCCAGACATGGGGATCCTGCTCTTCAGGAAGGGCTGGCATCAGGGCAGGGTAACCCGTGAGGGGGACATGAAGCTTGCTCCATACTGTATTTTTCTCGGGGAGTTTCCGGTGATTCTCAAGCACCACCACATCTACTTCCTGGAAGCCTGCCTGGCCGCAGGAAGAGCACAGGCTGGGCCTCAGAAACACCTGTACTTGAGCCATGCTCGGCCCTGGATTACAGTGGGTAAGCTCTTTTGTCTCTCTGGTTAATCTGACTTCATGGGTTGTTATAAAAATTGAATAGATTATGGGTGCAAAATGCCAAACACAATGCCTTCCACACACAGGTGCCTAATTAATGCTGCTTCTCTTCCTGTTCTTCTGGCACCCTCCACAAAAGAGATACAGCAAGAAAAGTGGGGAGGCGAGGCTCAAGGCCAAAGCTCCACCTGTGGTTTAGAAAGTGCATTATTTTAGTGTCTGACCTTTCATGCAAGAGAGAAAAACACAAGTCAGAATTACGGAAACTGCAATATGTCCCCAGCACCTAGGCAGTCTATAGCCTTACTTAACCTATACAGCAACCACCTGGGAAAGATGCTGCTACTCTTTGCATTTAGGGAAGAGGTCACCGAAGTTGTGGAAATTGACATTGATCATTATCACCCAGCTAATTACTTCAATTTGGTTTTTTTTTTCTGGTACTGGGAAGTGAACTCACGACCTTGCGCTTGCCAGGCAGGTGCTGTGCCACTGAGCTAATCTCTCAGCCTCTTAATTACTTCAATTTGAGGCAAGTCTTGGTGGCTTTCAAGTTAATACCCATGTCCCATACAGTCTTGAACACCGAGGGATTGTACATTAGGCGTGTAAAAGTGCCAAACCAGCTGTATGCAAACCCAGGGTGCCAGCCACTCCCTTCCCACTTAGTGGAAGCTCAGCTGCTTGGTGTCTCCAAGACCACAGGAGCCCAGAAGGAATGAATGGTTATTCCCACTTCAAGTTTTCAAACAGGGCTGAGAGTTGAGCAAGGTCTCTTAGCTTCCCAGGAATACTCACAGAAAAATGTTCCTAGCTTGTCAGAAGTATAATAGGGGGGCGGGTAACTGGTTTTAAGACAGAGTCTTGGGTACTGGGCTCATATTTCTGGAAGGAGCATGCTTTGAGTTGACGGAAGTCATCATGTGATTAGAAATGGAAATAAAACCCCACAGGTGCCCTGTGGATGCAACCTTTCCAAACACTTGGCTGAACTGCTCTCTGCCTAGCCTGTTTGAGCATGCACTGAAATCCTAACAGCAGTGAGTGACTGCTGAGCTCCCTCTCCATGGAAGACCCTGGGATAAGACCTTACATCACCATCGCTGGTCTTTACAAGTCTTCATGGTGGGTGCTGCAGGTATGACAGAAGCATGAAGTGCAGCAGAAAGAAGCCGGCACACTGGCCCTGTGGATGCACCACCATGCTTGTGCTGCGGCTACACCTCCCAGGCTGCTCCTGCCATGCCATGACTGACTGGCAGGGCTAGTACAGCAGGCTTGGTCCCACGGGACACATGACTCCTCTGATGGTTCAGGGACTCCCACTGGCCTGGCAGAAACTTTCTTAGAGCTTCAATGAAGTCTAAGACTGCTTCCCAGTCTTCTGCCCTTCTCGCTCTCTTCCCACGGGTGTCAGACCCGCACCGAGCACTCCCTGCCTCTTCCGGCTCTTTCTTGGACACTTCACAGGTGTTTCCCTCAATGATTCTCTTGCATGTCCGATCCCACCTTGGTGTTTGCCTCCTGAAGGACCTGAATGGACAGTGGACATTAGTCCCATCTCACAGATGAGAAAGCATTGGATCAACGGTTAAGCAACTTGTCTAAGTCCCACAGCCACTGAGTGACGAAAACTGGGGTAAGACACAAGTGAATTTTCATCCACCAGCCAAGTATTTCTAACACAGCAGGGTGAGCCTCACAGACTAAGCTAGGGAAGTGGTGACATGTTTCAGTTTGGTTCCCTCATTTTATAAACTAGTTACCTGAGAGCAGCAAGCAGAAGGATCAGTCCAGTGCCGCAAATGCAAGGGCAGAGCTGTGTGGCCTATCACTTCCCTTGTTTGGATACTGAAGGAGGAGGCCACAGGGAAGCTGTAGGGCATGTGTCGCAGTTATTTTTTTTTGTTGTTGCTGAGACAAAATACCTGACGCCCAAAATTAAGAAAGGAAAGGTTTATTTAGTTTATAGATTGTGGAGGTTTTAGTCTGTATTTGGCTGGCTCTAAGGCAGAGTGGCACATGGCAGAGGGCAACAGTTTATGTCGGTGGAAGATAGCAAAGTAACAGGAGCACAAGGGAGGAGGGGTGGAAGAGCAAGCCTCTCTTTTTTTTTTAATATTGTAAGCAGGCTGCCCCTACCCAGGGGTCGTGTAGTACTTATATAATCTCCATGCCCTCTTGCACAGGCTCAGGATGAATATAAAGTCAGTACCCTGGCTCTTTGTTGAATCACATAGTTAACCTTTTAAACTTTTTAAACTGACACAATGAACATCCCAGAAGGGTAAGGGCACGACCTTTTCACCTCAGGATGTAGAACTGCTGAGTCACTGAGCCAAACCTCTAGACTCTCCAACTTGACACAGTGTATCAACCGTAACAGCATAGAGCCACCCCGCGGCAGAAGTCAGGTTGGGGTACTAAGTATCTGGCTCCCCAGCCTAGCAGGTCCGAACAGCCTGCTGAGGACTAGGGAGGACCCCAGTAGGGGGCGCTCACTGGGCGCACAGAGAAGAGCTGTCAGTGTGACCAGGGTGACGTCTGCTAGACAACCCTGCCTTGCCAGAAGCTTCTTCCCTTCTCTTTGCATTGGTCCATAAACTCCCAGGAGACAACCTCCCAGATACAGTCCTGGTCCAATCCCTTCTTTTCATTGGCAAAAGACATTCGGACTTGTGTTTTCTTGTAATTACAAGATCATTTGGGGCCTGTGAATAAAAAGTACATATGTGTTTATTCAAACTGAACTAATGCAGTCAAGACTCCTGGGCACAATAGGGCATTACGTCTTGGAACGGTGCACCAGACATGCTCAAGAATGGATGTGACAAGCACAGGACAGTCTCCAAACAGATGTCCTGTGGAAACCCACAGCACTGGCAGTAGGTAAAGACCAATACTGTGCCAGGCCAGAGGCTTCTGGCAGTTGACAGTAGGTTCTGTGCATCCTGATGGTGGCAGCAGAGACCAGTGCAGGAGCCACATGGCTTCTCTGCATAGACCACTGTGGCCAGGATCCAATCAATTCCGGTTCTTAGCACGTCTGAAACCCTATTGGCTGAGAGTGTCTGCCAGCGCTCTAGAAACAAAGCATTTTTGAGCCCTGACACAAATGCACCCTTCAGCCACTGGGTGGAGCCTGAGATCTGGAAGGGCAGGTGAGCAGCTGACACACTTCCTTGTTCAGGCAGACCTGGGCTTTATTATGCTCACTGCTTCATCCACCGGAAGCATGAGAATCTCGCCCTGTCCAGCAGCCCAGGCTGGACAACGCAGGGCTGGGGCCGGTGGTGGTCAAAACAGCCAGAGGAGAGATCTACACGTATACTGTGCTGCCAGCCCAGAATACCTGGGATGTCTGGCAAGATGGCAAAGGATGGCATCACCCTTTGGGGTCTGAGAGTGGCTTTAGCATAAATGGAGCCATTAGGTGTGCTGGAATGTGGGCTCTCAGGCCTGGAAGGGTTCTGCTTGCCTGATCACTAGACAGGACCGGGCTATGAAGGTAACCCCACACAGGGGGACGTTTAGGAAGAGAGATGGGGTTCTGAGGCTAGACAAGTCTTGTATTTTAATGCCCCTCTCATCGGGGCCTTCAGAGGATTCAATCCCATAGGAGGAGTTGAAGCCATAGCCAAGGCCTCAGAACTGATGTGGAGGCAGCCAAGGCCAAGGCCAGAGTGAGGCACCTCCTGTATCAGTGGTGGCGAACCTATGGCATGTGTTGTTTGTTGTTCTTCTAAGACAGAAGATGTTAATGTATGAGTTGTTTTCTCTAAGCTAAAACCAGTATTTAGGTTTAACTGCAGTGTTGGCACTTTGTGATAAATAAGTGGGTTTTGGGTTGCAGTTTAGGTACTTGTTTCTGAAAGGTTCGCCATCACTGTCCTATATAGATAGTAGAGATGCTAAAGTAGGTGCGCCCTGCAGTTCCCAAGAGGCTACAAGAGTCCTTTGTGAACAGTTTGTGTCTTCTTTTAGAAGTAGTATCTTGTACCTCCATAGTGCCGGAAGCACCCTGAAGGTAAGTTCTGAACTGTGTCCTTGCTCCTGTCTTGGCTTGTATCTGTACCCGCTGTAGAGACTGCTATGGACTTTTCAGCCTTGCAGCAAGGTCTGATCTAGTTTCACACTCACCTCTCTCAGAGGGACTGGGGGAGAAGCCAAATCCCGATGGGTGTGGCCTGTGGGAGCACTGCCTAGGCCTCCCTTGTGCTGTCCAGCATGGAGAGTTGGAGAGGAGCCATGTCAGACACCTCTGATTTCCTAGTGCTTGGCAATGTGCATGGCACACAGTGGGGTCTTGGAAAATACTGTACTATACTGATCAAACAGATTTTGCACTTCCTAATTTGGGCTGACGCGCTGTATGATTGGGACCCTGGGCAAGTCACTTTTACCTGGTGACTTACTCTCCAGCTGTAAGGTGTGGATGATGACCACAGCCACCTGTCACCTTGGCCAGGGTTTGCTTGCTTATTTTTTTTTTCCTGTGGCTAGTCTGTTTCAAGGATACAGTGATAGAAAGTATTGAAAATTCTCTTTGTAAACTGGAGTGTTCCAGGCACATGTAAGGAAGAGAAAACTAGAAAGCTGCATTTCCTGTTACTTCTCAAATATGACCATTATTACTAGTTTATTGGTCAGTAGTGCTACATTTCTCATTACCATTCTTCTGCTTTAGAAGTGGGCAATCGCAGTTTAAAAAAATGTTGCATGAGAGATGGTGAAGCTGCTCATTAAGGGGAGACATGCACCTTGCAAATGGTTTTGCTTTTCCTGAACTGAGTCTTCGAGCAGAAGCAGGCTGCCCAGGCCCTGGCATGGAAACTTTTATTTGCTTAGCAACCTGGGAGAAGTGGCTCCTGAAAAGAATCTAGACTCCAGATTAAAAAAAGATCTGGCTGGAGTATAATGCCAAGCACAAATCATATTAAAGGCATGAACCTCCTGCGCTAACTCACAGCATGAGGAAGCGGGCAGAGTCGCTCAGATTCACACAACTCTCGAGCTTTAATTTAGCTGCAAGAACTGTTCTTGCTGAAGCCAGTGGAATTTCCCACTACGTAAAAGCTTCAAATCCCCTTCCTTCTTAGGGAAAAGGGAGGAGGAGAGAAAAGAAGACATAGAAGGAATGTGGAGGAGAAGTAGGAGGGGATGGAGGACTTTGCTATTGGAGGCTGTAGATCAGGAGGGTCAGCTTCTACCTGGTGTCTTGGTGCTGTGTTGCTCAGGCAGTGGCAGGCTGTGCCTGAGGAAGGCTGGTGTCACGACAGAAGCACTGGGCTGGAAGACAGGCGCTGAGCTTGTACCCCAGCTCTGCCTAACTCTTTGACCTAACTCTTGCCATTTTTCTCTGCAAAATGTAGGGCTGGATTAGCTTCCTTGTAAGGTCCCCCCGCAGCCTCTAGGGTTTGGGGCTTCATGAGTGTGCCATGATCTGGCACAGACTAGGACCAGAGAGGGACAACCCAGAACTGTCCTGTTAAATCGTGCTGTAGGATCTCTGTAGCTCCCTTGGTGGGGGCTACTCAACTCTGGAGCGAGAGAATATGGGAGCAGAATAACATGACAGGCAGAGGGAAGGGAAGGAGGTGGGGCATGAGGGAGGCAGGGCACTCACAGCAGGAGGAGATGGGCACACTGATGGCTAGGATCACCCAGGCGATGTCCATCTTGCTCAGGCAGATGGTGGCTCTGTGCTGGGGCTTGTCCCCTTCGGCCACATGGGAGATGTTTGCTGCTGTCCCAGGCTTCCAGGTCCCAGCAGGGACCAGGCGGTTGAGGAAGTTTCCCGTGGCTGTGGACACCACTGTGGAGAGAGGACTGGGCACCCTGTTGGTCGTGGAGAGGGAGGCTGTAGCCTCCTCCTCAGCTGGAGAAACAGTGCTTTCTGAGACCCCAAGGGGATGGGCTGGGGCCTGTGGGGTTGTGGATGTTTCCTGAGGAATCCCCTGGGAAGGGGCTGAGACACTGGCATCGAAGGCAGCTGGGGTTGGCCCCATCACAGCTGTAAAGGCCCCAGAGCTGGCAGACGGAGGTCTGTTGGTGCCAAGGGTGACAGTAAGCCAAGAGTCACTGAGGCTGGGGCGGTCCTGCGTGTCACCGTGAGGGTGCTGAGAAGGCACTGGGGTGGCTCGTGAACTGGTAGGAGCTGCAGCTGCTGTGGCATTCGGCTCACTTGTTGGGCTGGTGAAGATGGAACCACCCCCTTGGTCTGCTGTGCTAAGTCCCGGATTGTCCTCTGCAGGCAACAGCAGGGTGGTGGGTGGCACCCATGAGGTACTTCTGGGTGCTGTGGTCGCAGCCACTGTCTGGGGTTGTGGCAAAGAGAAGTTCGGGGTCCTGGGGGCAGAGGGATCTGACTCCACAGACCCTGTGAAGTTGCCCTTGTAGATCTGAAAGATCTTCCCTAATGGGCGCTTCTGCCCCAGGTGTGTGGAGCTCTGATTCCGTCCCCGCTGGCCTTCCTTCCTCCCAGAGTGGCCACCAGGTACCGGTGGGGTAGGGCGTGATGAGCTGCTAGCCCCTTTTCGGGAAGAGCCTGGGAGTCGGGGGGGCCTGCGTGTGGTAGCCCGAGGGGCTGCTGTGATGGGGTGGCTGGTGGCTCCTGTTGGTTTTGTCAATAGGATGGTGGAGGTAGCCTCCCCTGTGGGACGGCTCTCTGAGTGGGAGTATGTGGTTGCCATGGCAACTGCAGGGGAACCTGTGGGCAAGGGGCTTTCAGGATGGAGGATGGTTGCTGTCACTAAGATAGTGGAAGTGGTGTTTATAGGAGGGGGCCCATTTTGATGGGGTATCGCTGTTGCCATGGCAGCTGTGGGCTCTGAGAGTCCATCAGGAGCAGGGCTCAGTGTCACCACAGAGGAGTGAGTGGTCTGGCTGTGGGAGGCAGTCACCATGGTGCCTGGGGGACTGCCTGAAGGGAGGACCTGAAGAGATTCCAGTTCCGGGACAGCAAGTACCAGTGCTTCAGTCAGTGTCACAGTCAGGAGGAAGCCTGGAAGGGGAGACAGAGAGGAGACGTGAGACACCCAGCAAGCAGCTTACAGCTGGGTTCTCCTTACTCATGACCTTGAACACTCTGGGAATTCAAGGAGGATGTCAGGCACATCCCCAAGTTCCACGCTGGCACCTGGCACTCTGTAAGACACAGAACCTTCCTTATGTGGAACAGGGACAGGTCTCGGAGGTTGGTACTAGAGTACTGGTCAGGAAGAGAAACCAGAAGGGAAGTCAGACTGGTTGGATATGTCTTTTCCCAAATGCCTCTTGAATGCTATCAGCCCTCCAACCAAAGCGCAGCTTCTCAGAAGGGGTGTGGGGTGCAGGAGGCTGCAGCTTCTATACCTACCTCCTCTTGTGCAACCAGTGTTGCAGGCCAGCTCAGGCACAGAGAAGTGAGCCACCATAAGCCAAATGAGGAAGACTTGGGTAGGCAGAGCTACCCAATTCCTGTTCCCTTTTCTGAGCTGGAGAAAGGCAGGTATCAAAGGTCAGACCTCCATTCTCTCAGATGCACTTACCAAACAATCAAAAAAGATCAACCTTCTCTTTTTCCCTGGAGGACAGAAATGAACAGGGCAGACTCCAGCCCTGGATGAGTTTGCATAAATCAACAATGCTGAAATAAGACAGACAGGACTCAGCATCATAGGAAAGTGGCAGGGAGAAGGGAACATGGGTCTAGAGAAGGGTACACGGGTCCAGAGAAGGGCAGCCAGATTTGGTGCCCGTAAAGCACACAGACCAGAGTCTGCATTCTATATATGTCGCTGGTATTATGGTGTTATTCACTGCTTTTCCTATGACACTCATGTGGCTGAAGTCTGTGGAAAACTGATTGGTGATGCCCAGTCTTTTTGAGTAGGAGTTCTTTTGTATATTAAAGAAAGGGCTTGCATGGTAGTCAGTGTGTGTACTTTTTATTCAGAAAATGCAAAAGGATAAAAATCTATACATTTAAAAACATTTATAAATATGTATAGTCACAGCATCATGTGCAATTTAAAGAGCACCTCATACAAACACAAGACATAGGACACACTCAGATCATATATTGGGAGTCTGGCCATTCGAACACATGGGTTAGGAATAGCGGGTCTCCTGCTGAGGAGTGGCGGTCACTTCTCTAGGGCCTGGTTCTGACCTGTCTACTTTTCTTTGTTCATTTGCACCCCTCTCTCTGCCATTCTCAGACTTTCTTTTGGCCCAAATGAGTCCCTAAGACCAACTCACTCAGTCCTTCTCCCTTGTCAGATCTGAGCAAGACAAATGGCCAAAGCAGGTCCCTGTCTGGGATTCCCACATACATTCTGAGATGGCCAGAAAGGCTACTGACAGGAGAAGGAAGGGCCTTGCCTGTGACTTCCAGGACTGGGGAGCTTCTAGGAAGCATGAGGGGGAGGAGATCTGCGGCTGGTACAGCTGTGACCCAAAGCCCAGTATCGCATTAAGTATGTAGTAGAACCTTGCAGTGACCTGGAAGCCGAGGGACTTGGGCTTGGATATATGCTGCAATGCTAGCCAGCTCTGGGACCATTGGTTTGTGCTGACCAATCTACTTTTTCTAACTTTCCATCCATGAGCCAGACCACATACTAGAAGTGTACTCTGCTTATTCAAGTCAGTGACAGAAACACACTTGGTTTAATACTCATAGGCACTTGGCAGGGTGGGAAACTGGGGCTCAGGGGGATTAGGTAACATGTGCAAAGTCATGTGGTAGAAGTATGTGAACCTGGGGCTGTTTCTAAAATGTATGCTCTTCCTGGTCAGCTACCGCCAACAGTGCAGGAGGAGGAAGAGGACTGTCAGTTGCATTCACAGAAGAAACAATGTGCTTTCCGTTATGATTGGTTCAGGGTTATTCCAGCCTCTCTGCCCTCACAGTGCTAAGTTTGCAACTTAGCACTACAGGGCAATCTCAGGGTTGGTGGCAGCAACCTCTGATGTCCTGAGAACATTTCCTGACAAGCCCGTTTGTTTTACAAGTTGTTTAGAGCTGAAATTTGTATGTTGGAGCCCTAACCCCAGTATCTCAAAAGAAGAATGTTTTTGGCAACAGAGCCTTTAAAGAGGTGATTAACATACAATGAGGCAATAGGGGGGGCCTTTGTCCAGTCTGGCTGGTGTCCTTCTCAGAAGAGGTTAGGACATACAGTGACAGGGGCTTGGGCACACGACATTGTAGAAGAACGAATCAGCAAGCAAGTATCTGGGAGATGGGCCTCAGAGGAATCTGTCCTTGCTGTCACCTTGACAGTGGAATTCTGGCCTTCAGAACTGTGAGAAAACAACTGTCAGTGGCATTCTGTTATGTCAACCTACCAAACAAACACACAGATCTTACATTAGGGATCCTCCAAGAAAGGAGAGATAGAGACAAAGGCTTGTGAGCAAGCAGTTTATACTGGGAAATGATCTGAGGGTTGGCTGCAGGGTCTGAGATGAGTGAAATCCAAGGGCAGCCATGATCAGACTAAGGTGTGTATCTACAGGGAAGATGGGGAAGTCACCACCTGCCTGAAGGCACACTCCCTGCTGGGGCTTGGTGCTCACCCTGCTGCGCTTCCTGGTCTCCCAGGGCTGTCAGGAAAGTGCTAGGTTGAGGTGCTGGCAGGTTATGCTTGTGCACAGCTGGTGGCTGCTGCAACAGCTGGAGTGAAAACAAAGGCCCCAGAGGATGGCTGGGGTGGAGTACCAGATGCATCCTATATAGTCAGAGCCAGAGATCCAGGATGCAGCAGTCAAGGGCAGCACAAAAGTTTAGCAGAGGGACCCCAGCCCATCACAGAGACTCAGAGACAGATCTGTGGTGGCAGAGGTGCCATGTGGGCCTCCAGGGTAACTTCTGCAGCACTCAGAGGCAGAGGGGTCTTTAAAATACTCAGGGGAACCCCCCACAACACTGCAAATTGTACCAGCTGGGAGCCCATTAACTTACAGTGTCAGTTATCCTATCTGCCCTTTCTGATCTGCTGTTTATATTTTCACCTGTCAGCATCTCTTGATGTTATTTTATTTCTCAGGAAAAAATTAATCTCTCAGCCACTTCTTTAGACTTTTAAGTTAATCTTTGAAAAAATGAGTGGAAACTGCCACCCTGAGTGCCACAGTTTTTAACAACAGGAGGACATTTGGATGTTACAGTGAGGGGCACTACAGGTCATCTAGCCCAATCCCTCCCTTGCATAGGGGAGAGTGGAAGGAGTGAAGGAACTTGCTGAAGAACACACAGCTGGCTGGGAGACAGCCTGGATCATACTGCAGCCAGTACTTCAAAGCAACTTTTCAGGTGTATCATAGAATTGCTACAAGGTTGCACTGCCCAGACATCTCCTTCAGCCTCGACTGCCGCCTTCATTATGGAAATCAGACAGGAGTTCACCTCTCCTCCTTAGCACAAAAGGTTAACAAAGGGAATGGGATGCACACTGTCACAGTAAATGTGCAAAGCCTTCAACCCTGGCTCCCCTAACACATGCAAATTTTCATTCAAGGTCCTTTGTGCTGGCCTACACACTCCCCTCCCCACAATCTGGTGCTACTGGCTCCTTGCATATTATTTGCATGGATTTGCATAATGGACTCTGGAGGCCCCAACTCCAAATATGTAAGAGAAACTAAACAAGGAAAGAACAACTGGGATGAGGGAAAGGAGAAAAGAAAGAAAGAAAGGCAAAAAAATATATATATACACAAGATAGCAAAGATAACTGTACTATTAATTTCTATTGGTTTATTGAAAAGAACAGTTAATGCTTAATTTTTTTGATCAGTTTTGCATGCCTATATCAGGAAATCTGAACAACTACTTTGTAGATAACAATATGCAATATAATAACCATTGTTGATAGCATGTTTTCAAATTCTGTATCATTTTTAAAGTTTTTAAATTTTTCTCCTTAAAATAAAAATAAAATTCAGCTTTACATACTTAAAATGTGGGACTGACTTTTAGAACATGTCAGAACATGTGGGGTGGAAGCCCATGGGATTGATGGGTGCCCAGATGTTGTAGGAAGGCTTCCCCCGCCACAGAATCCATGCATACATGATCCCAGGAGCCCAGGGAAGGAGAGAGCCTCCCGTTCCTCCTGTGTATTTGGTGGCTGCCCACAGTCTATATTGGGCATGGCATTTGCATCTGGCAAAGGCAACTGGTAAAGAGAAAATACCTAATATTGTATCTTGTACAGAGCACTCTCTGTATGTCCCAAGCTACTCTAAGGGTTAAATCTGTGTTGGCACAGTTAGTCCTCATGGCAACCTGAGGAGGCAGGTACTATTATTAGCTCCCTGTTGCAACGGAGAGAATGAATCCTGAGAGGCAGAAGATCCTGCTCATGGCCGCACAGCTGGGGAGTGAACTGGGTTTTGAACTTGGGAAGCTTGGCTCCAGGCTACACCCTGAGCCACTTTCACTCCCCATTCTGCTCTGCCACACCTTTCCCTTTGCATCCCTCCCCCAAGGATGCTCTGGATAGTCACAAGTGATGATATGGCGTTTTTAAGAATGGCTTTTCCATGTTGGTCTCTTATTTGTTTTCTTCGATCTCTATTCCAGGGCTCTTTATAACACATTTGGGGTTCTTTTAACAATTCATTAATTTATTTTGCAAGTAACTTGAGGGAGGTTGTAGTAGTACAATAAAAGGGCTGGAAGCACTTATTTTCATTCTCTTTTACTCCAATCCTGCCATCCCACGCATACCTTTGGAAAAAGGAAAATTATACATACATTTTCTCTTAAAGTTATTACTTCTAAATAGATCTTCCTTCCACACTAAACTATATTTCTACTGCCAGATATTTTGTCCATTTTCTTTTTAAACTTCTGTGACAGAGAATCACAGGACTCTGCAACATTTTTCACTAAACAAGGCAGCAGCTTGGCCATGCCAGAAACTTGGTATCATGATTTTAAGTTACGCTTGCAAGTTCTCTGGACAGCACCACCCCCTCCTCTGCAGTCTGTTCCCCTTACTTTGAGCCTAG